GCCCAAACCCCCCCCCCCCCCCCAAGCCCCTGCCATTTAAACGCCTCCCCCCACCGGCGGGAACGTGTGTATGTATACACTCCCCGAAGTGTGTGTATGTGCTGGGGGGAGGGCAGAGGTTTCAGGTTTAGACGGGTCCAGCTGGGATCAGGGCCCGCCGGGGGGGGGGGCAAAGAGCCCCTGGCTGTGCAGTGCCAGGCACCGAGTAAAGAGGAAACGTCCTTTGAGCATCACGCGTGTGACTGTGTGAACGACGCCCCAGCCCCCTCCCCTCTGGCCCCCATGCCTCGCTCCGGCCCGCCCCGAAAACCCAAGTGAGCCGCGACGTTTTCAAACCCTTTATTAGCGGCTTTGTCCTCATTGCTGTCCCTTTGCGATCCCCGTCCACCGGGGCAGCCCGCAGGGGGCGCCAACAGCCGGGGGAAGGCGGTGGGAGGCAGTACCCCCTGCTGGCCCTTCGCCCCCGGGTGCCAGGCTGGAAAGGGGGAGGGGGCTGCCTCCCCAGCCCCACAATGGTAGGACGGATCAGCTACACAACACTAACTTCATTTACATAACATTAACATTCATTAGCTATGCAAAACACTCCAGAAGCGTCGCCCCACGCCTCGGGTTTCTTCCTCCCTCCTCGCGTCACGATCTCCCGCGTCCTCAGCTACGTGCTTTGATCCCTCCGACCCCAGCCCCACCTTTCCTCCTGCCCCTGCTGAAGGGGAGTACGATTCTGCCTGAGACTGGAAGCCCCACCCCCCGCGCCCGTGTGGTGCTGCCTAGTGGCCAGTGTAGGGTATTGCGGCGCTGTGCAGTGATCCTCGGCCCGATCCCGATTCCCCACCCGAGCTGGGCTGTGGGGGGGGGGTTCACGACCCCCTCTCACCCACTCCCCCCAGGCTGTAGCCCTGCCAGAACGGGGAATGGGACCAAGGGCTGGGGAATGAATGTTGGGGGGGGGAACAAAGGTGACTCCTCCCCCATAGCCCTTGCAAACTGCCCCCAGGGCCCCCTGCTGGCGGGGGAGGCAGAGGGATGTGCCCCCCCACGGGGGTCAGAGGGGGACTGGGACACATGCAGTGCAATCAATATACAACATATACAGAGTGGGGAAGGGGCTTGAGGTTGGGGGGGGCAATGCACACATTTGTCTTTAGCCTGGGGGGTGTTGTGGGGGGGTGGTGAGACGCTCTGTGTGTGTGTGTGTGTGTGTGTGTGTGTGTGTGTGTGTGTGTGACCTGCTGCCTCCATGTGCTTGGATGCCTGAATCCTGAGGTGGAGGAGGTGGGTGGTATGCCTGGGTTCTCTGTCAGTGCATGTATGTACAGTGTTACCCCCCACTTCCCACTCAGCTCAGCTCCTTCATTGGGCCCCAGCACCTGGGATGTGGGAGGTAGAGGGGGGGTCCCTCCAAACTAAGCAGGGGTGCATGCTCCACGGGGGGAGGGGGAAGCAAGTGGCCCCTGCTGCTCCTCCCTTGGTCTCCAGGCCAGTTTGGGTCAGAAGGGGAGGGGAGCATGGAGCTTTGGGGGCCTGTGTTGGGGGTGGGGACCCCCCCAGTGTCTTTAGGTAGGGGAGTGCTGATGGGCAGGATCCAGTGACATCACTACAGAAGCAGATTCAAGGGGCAGGATTTCCCTACCAGGATCCAGCACCTGCACAGAGCTGAGCACTGATTGGTGGATTCTGGGCTGGGATCCAGTGTCATCACCATGCAGGCAAGTGCTGACTGGCAGGATTCCAAGCTGGGATCCAGTGTTGTCACTAAGTGCTGATAGGTGGGATTTCCAGGCTAGGATACAGTGCCTGTATACAAATTATTGCTGATTGGGTGGATCCCCAGCTGGGATCCAGTGTTGTCCCCACACAAGGTGACTGCTGATAGGTAGGATCCCAGGATGGGATTCAGTGTCTCTACACAGACAAGTGCTGATTGCCTGGATCTCTCGCTGGGATCCAGCATGGACAGAGTGGCTCTGGCATTGGGGAGAGGGAGGCAGCTCCACCTTGGGGACTTCCAGCCCCTTTCCAGGGCCCTGACATGCAGCCACCAGTGGGGTGTTGCCTGGGAGGCCTCCACTTATATGGAGCAAGCTCTGAGCAGCAGCAGGGGAGCGGAGGCCTCCTGCCCTCCCACCCCTGCAACTCTCTACCCCGATCCAGCCAGGGTGCAGGGGCTCCAGAAGGCCATGTGGGGGAGGGCTGTGTGGTGCCCCCCACCAGGAGGGTGACAGCTTCACCTGGAGACCACACCCAGTGCCTGCTTCATGTTCTCATAGACCACGTAGCTGATGCTGACGGCTGGGACGACCTTCAGGAAGTTGGGGGCGATGCCACGGTACAGCCCCGGCAGCCCCTCACGCGCCACGATGTGCCGGAACAACCCCCGCATTGTGGCCGGTGGGGCCCCCTCCACTGACGCTGCAGGAATGGGTGGGGGGAGGGGAGAGGAGAGGAGAGGAGAGGAGATGAGACGTGGTCAAGCCTGGAGCCAGTCACCCCCTAGCCCCTCATCGCATCCCCAAGGCAGCTGGCTGGTGCTGCAGCCACCTCTGGGGGAGGAATGTGGTAGGCACCAGGGTCACAGCCACATAGCACATAGGCACCTTGTGCCTGCATTCGGGTCCTGACCAGTGCCAGGGGGTAGCTGGCAATCTGCCCGCAGGTGCTGGATGCAGTGCCACAGGCCAGGAGCACCAGGACACCTGGGTCTGCCGTGTCCTTGCCATACTTCTGCAGCCAGGCGTTCTTCAGGGTCTGGGGGAGGAGGAGGGTCAGAAAATGGGGGCTGGGTAGTCTCCAGCTGCCAGGAAGAAGCTCTCCAGCCTTCCCCCTCCCCCACCCCCCCTCGCCCCCCAGGCTCTCCCTGACCGGGTGCCTGGTGCTGTTTGTGTCCCACCTCATAGATGGCCAGGTCAATGCCAGCATAGGGGATGATGCCCAGCATGTTGGGCAAGTAGCCTTTGTAGAAGGCCCGGATGCCTTCGTGGCGCAAAATGGAGCGGGCACAGTCAGCTACGCCCACATACTGCCCTGTGGCCCGCAGCGTCAGCCGTGTTTTCAGTACCTGGGGGATGAAATCAGGGAGGGGGCATGAACCAGCAGACCCCTGGGGAGGGGAGGAGAACAGCTGCCCCTGGGAGTGCTGTTTAGCAGGAGGGTCTGAGAGCTAAGATGTGGCTGAGACTGGGGTGGAGTGAGGAGGAAAGTGAAGGGTAGGCACTGCCCTAGGAGGGAGGCTGGAAAGTAAGGAGATAAGGAGATTTGGGGATGGGAGAAGGGCGTTTCTCCCCCAAAACCACCCCCACTGCAACACAGCATCCCCAGTTGCCACCACACACCCCAGAGAGGTCCCTGCTATAGCAAGGGCAGGAGGCAGGCACTGGGGGTGAGGCAGGGGCAGTTCCCCTGCTCGTTTCCTCAGCTCTTACCTCCATGGGGTAGATGATGGTTTGGGCGGTGGCACCAGCCAGTGACCCGGCCACGAAGCGCTCCTGCACCCGCAGAGTCTCCTGCTGCCCCCGAATTGCCCGCTTGATCTGGGGAAGAAACAGAATCACCCCTGCCCAGCATCATGGATTGGGGCGTGCCCCAGCCCTTTCCCTGAGGGGCAGGCTTCAAGGTGGGGTGGGGGTGCGGATTCTAGGAGAGGGGCTGGGAGCCCAGCTCTAGCAGGGGTGTGGGGTCTGGGGGTGGGAAGTGGGGCAGGGCTAGGAGCCTGGACACCTGGGTTTCCCTTTATAATGGAGCTGCATTAAAGTCCTGTGTGAGCAGATGCCTGGGAGGTGAGAAACAGGGATGGACACAGGTTCTACAAGGGATAAACCCAAAGCTTGGACAGTCCATGAGATGTGTCCCTCCACCGGCTACTCCTTCCCAACCCTGCTCTGCCCTCCTCCCCCGCCCCCAGCTCAGCCCAGCCCAGCCCAGCCCCCACCTGCTCGTAGGCCATGAACTTGATGGCCGACTCCGGCGCGATCTTGAGGACGTTGATGCCGTTGCCGCGCCAGAGCGAACGGATGCCGCCCTCACGTACCATCCCTTGCAGCCCCCCCAGCACATTCACTGCATTTGACTTGGAGGCATGCACCTGGTGGGGGCAGATGCCTAAGTTCAGAGGTCAGGTCCTCGGCCCTTGGAGTGGGCTGGGACTGCCCCAGGTAGATGTGCAGCACGGGGCACAGGGTCAAAGGCAGCACTGGGGGTGGTACCTGCATGAAAACTTTGAGGCGGTCAAGGGGGGCAGTGCCGGTACGGGACACAGCCCCGGCTGCGGCTCCAGCCAACAGCTGCTTCCACCACATCCCCGTTGTCTTCTCCTTCTCTGAGAACTCATCTGGCACCGTCAGGCTCTCGCCGATGTCCAGGACCTGGTGGTGGTGGGGGCGGGGATCAGGATCAGGACCACAGCCCAAACCCCAGCCCGGGGAGCTCTGAGAATGGACACCAGGCCTGGCTCCACTTCCACCCCCGGCCCAGATCAGGGCCCACCCAGGTCTGCTCGACCACAGCCTGACCTCTAACTGCCTCCTTGCCCCTGATGGGGGTGGGGGGAGGCTGTCCCTTCCATATGTGCTCCAGCAGTCCCCCCCAATATGGGACCTGAGGGGGCTGAGACCCAACCCATCCCAGGATGGAAGCAATGCCCCCTCATGGAGACCAGGTGCATCTGCAGGTGGGGGCGGGGAGATGTCCTGAATGTCCCATTAACTTAGATCCCAGCTCAGGGCTTAGAAGAGTGTGTGTAGGGGGGCCCTGGGGCAGCTGGGGAAACAAAAGCAGGGAGTGGAGGAGGATGGGTGAATTGGGGGGGGGGTGGCGGTGGCAGGTGACTCCCCAAGAGGCTCATAAGGGATGGAAGTCTCTCATCTTTCCTACTCTAACCCACTAGGCCCCCCTCCCCTCCTCAAATTAAGGAGAACCCAGGTGTTCAAGCTCCCAAACTCCCACACCCTGTTCTACCACCCTCCCCACCTCACCCCCCCCAGACCCCACTCCTTGCCCAGAGTTGGGATAGAACCCAGGTGTCTAGGCTCCCCCCACCCCAGCTCTAGCCCCCAGTGTCCTCCCAGAGTTGGGGATGGAACCCAGGTGTCTGGGAGCCTACCAGCTCAGGGTCTGGCAGGGGTCGGGGCACCAGCTTGTCCATGGCAGGCACAGGGCAGTGGGGCAGGTGCAGGGCAGTGCTGTGCAATAAACCCCATGAAATCCCCCTAATGGGATCAGCCAGGCAGATGCTCAATCAAAGCTGGGGGTTGCTCAGCTCATCCCTCCCTTCCGCCCACCTCCTGCGTCACCAAAGGGGAAAAATGCAAGGGGGGTGGTGGAGGATGGGGTGACTGCCACAGGGTGCAAAGGGTGCAAAGGGGAGCTGGGGAGGGAACTGAGGAGTCCAGGCCCCTCCATCCCCCAGAGCTGAGGAAGGAGGAACCCAGGAGTTCTGGCTTCCAAGACTCCCACTCCCTCTCTAATCTGGGATAGGACCCAGGTGTCCCATCTGGCCTGCTCTAAGCATGAGACCCCCTTCCACTCCCAGAGCTCATGACATAACCCAGGTATCCCGGCTCCCAGACCCACCCCTGCCCCCAACACTGTTCTAACTACTCATCTCCACCCTCTTCCCAAACTCAGGGGTGGAACCCAGGCATCAGGGCTCTAACCAGTATTCCCCACTCCCTGCTGAGTGGGGACCCAGGTCATTCCACCCCATCCTGAGCCCCCCCTGCTTGTTCCCATGATGCTGGAGGCAGGACATGACCCCCGCCCCCAGTCCCTGCCAGGGGATCAACCCAGTTAATTATAACCTGTAATCTCCACCTGGCCTGACCAGAGAACCCAGGAGTCTGGGCAGCAAGCCCCACTGGCTCTCAGCCTCCCTCCCTCTTAGATGAGCTTCTGAGGTGACATCTCCAGTCCCCGATAGGACCAGCCCCAGGACAAGGGGAGGTGGAGGGGAAGCCCTCCCTGACCCCAGGCCAGAGCCCTGGAACATGGAGATGGAGGGTGATTGGGATACGGCTGGGGGGGAATGGGATCCCCCCACCCCTGACCACTGCTGCTTGGCTCAGGAGTGTCACCTTCCTCCCTCCCCCAGCCTCCCCAAGCTACTTAAGTGTCACAGTGTCAGGCCAGAGCCCAGCCCCTACCTTCCTCCTGGCTCCACCCCAGAGCTGGATGCAACCGCAGCTTCCCCAACCCTGGGAACGGAACTCAGGAGTCTGGGCTCCAGGTCCCTCCCTCCTGGACCCACCTTCTGCCTTCCTCAGAGGCAGCAACCAAACCCTGGAATCCTGGCATCCAGTTCCCCTTTCTCCTTGCCTCCAGCAGCCCCCAGCAAGGGAATCCAGGAGTCTGGGCTCCCACTCCTCCCCAAGATGAGGCAAGTGGGGGCTCACCATGGAGTGCTTCCAGTAGTGCACCACGGCCTCCATGTCGTGCAGCGGGTGCAGCAGGAAGTGGTCACGCCATTCTTGCCAGTCGATGGTCATGGTGCCATCCCGGTCCACGCTGCCGCCACCCCCCGACCCCATGAGGGCTGCACTGGGGCCTGGGGCTGCCCCTGCCATGGCCAAGGCCACGGCCAAGGCCAAGGCCACGGCCCTGCCTGACCCCCCCTGCCGCAGGACTGGGTTATCTCGGGGCTGCAGCTGTGGCAGGACTCCGCCCTACAGGGAAGACTTGGCCAAGGGACCCAGGCATCCGGGCTCCCAGGCCATCCCCACCGCCCCTCCCAGAGCTGCGAAGAGAACCCAGGTGTCTGGATTCCCAGTTCCCCTTGTTCTAACCCACCAGTCCCTACTCCCTTCCCAGAGCAGGAAGAGAAATGAGGTGTCTGTGCTCCCAGTCCCACACTCTCCTCCCAGAGAACCCAGGCATCTGGGCTCTCAGCCCCCACTACCCCCCAGAACAGGGATTGAACCCAGGTGTCCAGGCTCCCAGCCCCCCTTGATCTAACCCCCGCTAGTGGAAGCCATCGGGGGGGAGACTCCAGCAGGGCTTGGGGGCAGGTCCCAAGGGTGTGGGGGCCAGAGAGGGGGTCCCAGAGGGGGTGGGGGGCACTATGGGAAAGGGGGCAGGAATACAGGGGTGTCTGGGGGCCTAGGGCATCTTTGCAGTATAGAGGGTCCCAGGAGAATGTAAGGAGGGGGGTGCTGGGCGCATCCC